AGTCGCCCCGAGCGCCGGTCGACTCGCGCGGTGGGGGAGCGCGTGGCCGTTTCTGGAGGCGGGCCGCAGGAGCGCGGGACTCGTGCGCGGAGGTCAGAGGTGGCGGACGGGTCGACCTCGGCGCAGAGCCCGAGACCGCGAGCTATGGTGGGGCGGTCCCGGCGGCGCGGCGCGGCCAGGTGGGCAGCGGTGCGCGCCAAGGCAGGTCGCGGCCCGGCGGACGAAGCGGAAGACGACCTAGAATTGCCACCCTCACCGGGGGACGCCAGCTACTACCAGGATAAGGTAGACGAGTTCCATGAGGCCCGGTCTCGGGCCGCCTTGGCCAAGGGCTGGAGCGAAGTAGAGAGCGGGGACGAGGAGGAGGATGGCGAGGAGGAGGAGGTGCTGGCCCTCGACATTGCCGACGAGGACGACGACGACGGGGAGAGCGAGGGGGATGAGGAGGACGACGAGGATGGCGGCAGCTCAGTGCAGAGTGAGGCTGAGGCCTCTCTGGATCCCAGCCTGTCGTGGGGTCAGAGGAAAAAGCTTTACTATGACACGGACTATGGTTCCAAGTCCCGTGGCCGGCAGAGTCAGCAAGAAGTAGAGGAGGAAGAGAGAGAGGAGGAGGAGGAGGCGCAGCTCATTCAGAGGCGCCTGACCCAGGCCCTGCAAGAGGATGATTTTGGGGTTACCTGGGTGGAGGCCTTTGCCAAACCTCAGGTGCCTCAGGTGGATGAATCTGAGACACGGGTGGTGAAGGATTTGGCAAAAGTGTCGGTGAAAGAGAAGCTGAAGATGCTGAGGAAGGAATCACCAGAGCTCTTGGAGCTGATAGAAGACCTGAAAGTCAAGTTGACAGAAGTGAAAGATGAGCTGGAGCCATTGTTGCAGTTGGTGGAGCAAGGGATCATTCCACCTGGAAAAGGAAGCCAATACCTGAGGACCAAGTACAACCTGTATTTGAATTACTGTTCCAACATCAGTTTTTATTTGATCCTGAAAGCTAGGAGAGTCCCTGCACACGGACATCCTGTTATAGACAGGCTTGTTACCTACCGAACTCTGATCAACAAGCTGTCAGGTGTGGATCAGAAGCTATCCTCAGAGATTCGTCATCTACTCACACTTAAGGATAGTGCTGGAAAGAAAGAACTATATCCAAAAGCAAAATCCACCAAGGCCAAACCAAAATCTGTTTCAGAGACTGCTGCTGCAGCTGCCTCTACTGTTGCAGATCTTTCTGATGATTCCAATTTTGATGAAGCTGCACTGAAATACTACAAAGAAATGGAAGACAGACAAAAGTTGAAGAGAAAGAAAGAAGAAAATAGTGCTGAAGAACAGGTTCTTGAAGATAAAAATGCAAAGAGAGCCATTACCTATCAGATTGCTAAAAATAAGGGACTTACGCCTAGGAGAAAGAAGATTGATCGCAATCCCAGAGTGAAACACCGAGAGAAGTTCAGAAGAGCCAAAATTCGCAGAAGAGGCCAGGTTCGTGAAGTTCGCAGAGAAGAGCAACGTTATAGTGGTGAACTATCTGGAATTCGTGCAGGAGTTAAAAAGAGCATTAAGCTTAAGTAAAGTTTTTGCTTTAAGTTTGGTTTTTTGGCAAGTTTTAGACCAATAAATTTTAATTTTAACTAGTGAAGTGATTGTTTTAATATATAATACCTAACCTTACATTTTAAAAATTCTTATAAACAGGGAAATTCGTTTGGGTTATTGCTAAATGTATTTGTTCCTTTAATTTATATTAAGGTCATACTAAGAACTGTGGGAGCAAAATGTGAGGTTAATACCTAACCTTACATTTTAAAAATTGTAAACAGGGAAATTAGTTTGGGTTACTGCTAAATGTATTTGTCCTTTAATTTATATTAAGGTCATACTACGAACTGTGGGAGCAATATTTAGATGCTTGAGAAAAGAGATGGTGTTGAAAAAAGTTCTCCAATATCCTGTCAAGTATTACCTAGGAAAATTTCACAGCTAGTTGTGGGGCAACAAACTTAGAATACTTTCATAATTTTTCACATAAACTGAAACAATGCACCTTTGGCAATTCTTGAGCAGGACACTTGTTAATAAATAGGTTTAATGTTAGGGGTTTTGTACATTTTGTGTGGTAAAAGCTTAGGAGTGAGGAGTAACTTTGGTTAAAAGTAAAGAGATATTCCTTAATTACATTGTTACATTTTCTAATAGTCCTTAATGTGGTAAATAAGGTTAAAATTCCATTTCCCCTTCTTTACTGGTGACTTGCAGTCGTTGCTGTTTGTACACTTCATTTGCTGAAAATCTGGTATTGATTACCACTAGGTAAGTGCCAACTTCAAGTGGAAACAGTTACATTTTTCTTTAGTTGCTCTGGTGTTTACAGTAGGAGAGAGAGATTGAGATGAACTTAGAAATATTTAGCATGATGCCAGGGAAGAAAATGAGAGGACTAGTGAAGGAAAGCACAGAAGATGTCTTAACTATGTCACTGGTTTTCATTCAACATTGTGCTACCTGCTAGAGATGCAGAGATGACCAGTGGTTAATATTTATTAAATACTTGCCATGTACCAGATGTGTATCACCTCATTTAATCTTTCCAAAAACTTTGCGAGGCAGTACTGTTCTATGGGAGATGAGGATGCTGAAGTTCATGACAGTTAAGTTTCTAAATGCACGTGCTTGGGATTTGGGCCCATGCCAGCTTAAATTGAGCCTTCATTCTCTTAACCTCTGGCTTGTATGTTTCCTCAGAGTAGCACATATGTCAAATTAGTCTATCTTGTTTTCTTATAAAGAGGCAGGAAGTAAAATTAATATTTACTGAGTGCTAAGGTACACTTTGCACTTAATTTCCTTTTTCCTCACAACTGTTGTGTGATAAATTCTATTACCCATATTATAAAGATGAAACTGTGACAATTAACTTTCTCAAAGTCATATAGCTATTAAGTGGCAGAGGTAGGATTTCATCCCAGCCTTTCTGGCTTCAGAGCCCTATCCTTTTCTGATATATAAAAACTGAAGGTTTGGAGCTAACTTACTAGGGTGGTTTTGAGCTAATTACTTGATCTGTCTCATTTTCTTCATCTGAATAGTACAGTTATTATACCTACCTTGAAGAAGAGAGTTAAGAGCTGTGAAATCCTAGAAAAAATATATATTTTGGTGTCTGCACCCCCAATTCCTCACACAGGGATCCTAAAACCCTTGTAAATTCCTAAGTGATAACACTCAGGAGCATCTTTTGTTCTAATGAGGTGACTCTGGAGGGCTCTTGAATGGCTCCTGGGTGGAGACTGGTCACCAGAAAGACCTAGCCATGATGAGAAGTTTGGAATTTTCAGCCCCACTCTCTATTCTCCAGAAAGGGGAGAAGGGCTGGAAATGGGGTTAGTGATAGATTATACCTATGTGAGGAAGTCTCCATAAAATCCCAATAGTGTGGGGTTGGGAGATTTCCAGGTTGGTGAACATATCCACTTTATGGGAGGGTGATGTACTCCAGTTCCACCAGAACAGAAGCTCCTGTGCTCAGGACCCTCCCAGACCTCATCCTGTGTATCTTTCTATCTCACTGTTCATCAGTATCCCTTATATCCTTCTAGTAAACTGATATATGTAAGTAAGTGATTCCATAAGTTCTGTGAGCAAGTTAATTGAACCCGAGAAGGGAGTCCTGGGGACTTCTGGTTTATAGGGGATCTGCCAGAAGCACGGTAGATAGGGTCAGAATTGAGTTAAATAGTAGGACACCCAGCTAGTGTCACAGAGAATTGTTTAGTGGGGGAAAACCTCAATACACCTGCTGTCAGAAAGTGTTGTGAGTGTGAGAGTAAAGGAGACAGGTGAAAAACAGGTTTTCCAATTCTAGGGCAGACTAGACTACCCAGGTTCCTAATCCACCTATATCACTACCTATGATTCTGCTTAAGTTACTTTCTCTCTCTTCCTCGGTGTTTTCATCTACAGTAAGGAGGTGAGTAGTAGTACTTCCTAGAGTTATTGTGAGGATTAAGTCAATATATGTGAAGCACTTAAAACAATGCCTGTTACACAGTAATCACCCAATAAGCAAGCACTGGCTCTTACTACAGAGTTGTGAGAATTAACTTTTGGCACAAAGCTGCTCAGTGAATGGTTCCTATTCATTACAGGAATATAGAGAATAAAGTATAGTCATATATGTAGAAATGCTTGAGAAATTAATATCCTAAGTTTGGAAGAAGAGGGGAGCATTGGGTGAACACATGAAAAGCAGTAGAAAATCTAGGACGGGAAAAAGCAAGGAAATTGAAGTTAGAGGTTGAAAGCATTTGATGTTCTATGTCAAATCCCTGACACATGTATAAAGTTGCAGTGAGGAAAAAAATGTTAAAAGAAAACCCTTCCATTTAGGAAAGTGGGAAATTGAAGCCTGTTATATATTGCTCTGAGTATATCAAGCATTCCTGTAGAGGCCTCTCAACACTTGACTAATTCATTCTTGAATAGCTAGGATATAGGTGGTGCTATCCTATTTTATCAACATAAAAAGTGGCCTTGCCTGATGTGAATTAATAGCAAAAGAAGTAACAAATTGCTGGATTTATTATTTACATCATCCAAATTTTATATGTACTTAAACATTTAAAGAGCATGGGGGGAGGGGGGTGAAAGAAGGCATAGAGGGGATAAATGGTGATGGGGAAAAAAAATTTAAATAATACAGAGCACTAAGATGTGTGATAGGTACTGTCCTAACACATGAATAATAAATTATTAACTACTCAATGTAATCATTTTTCATAGAGACTCACATTGTGTACTCTGGAGAGTCTCATGGATAAGAGTTCCAATAAAGTAGATTACTGGTATCAGGCACCAGTACAAAGCAGCACCCTGTTTTGTGTCAGCATGTTAGGCTATGGGCAGCTATTGAAAATATAAAATAACTCAAAATTCAAATAGAAGAAAATCCCAAACTAGTGAGCCTGTGACTTACTCTGTCACTAACCAGCTGACTGGCTTTGGGCTAGTCGGATTTCTCTAAGCAGTTTCTTATCTCTATTCTTAACTATAAGGAGTTAAGTAAACATCCCTTTAATTTTTGTGTAGAAATAAATTTAATTGCTTATCAGACCCATACAACTACCTTAATCACAGCTTTTGGTAAACTAGAAAATTTTTTGTGTGATCTTAAAAGCTCACTTAGATAACTTGAATAGCTATTCACATCTGACACAGAATATTTGATATATCTAAGAAATGGCTCAATTTGCTTATTCTTCCTTGCTGGTTGTATGAAGTAAAAGAATTTTAAGTTAATATGTTAAAGTAATATATTACTTTAAAGTTAACATTACCAAAATAATTCATGAGAGGTGAATATCAGTATAATTTACATTCCAGGGATCACAATGATGGACATGTACCTCTCTCTGAATAGATGATCCAACAAAATCATGTAAGATTCAACTAGAGTTCCAAATCATTCAAACTGATTACTGTTTCAGGTAACAAATCAGAGTTTTAAAAATGCTTTTAGATTTTTTTAAAAATTTGAATTTTGCTATTGAAAATTTAAACACAGAAACAGTATAGAAAATTTACCACCACCCAAATCAACAAATGTTAACGTGTTTTAAATTCCAACTAGTATATTTTCTCATATTGAGCTTTTTTTTTTAATTTATTGATTTTAGGGAGAGAGAGACAGACATTGATTTGTTGTTCCATTTATTTATGCACTCATTGGTTGATTCTTGTGTGCCCTGATCAGAGATCAAACCTGCAACCTTGGCATATCCCATGACACTCTAAATCGACTGAGCTACCCAGCCAGGGCTTAGCCATACGTTTCTAATCACATCACGCTTAACATTCACAAAAAGGGAAGTTAAGACCAAATAAGTTTATTAAAATTCATATTCAGTTCAATTTTCCTGAGTCACTTCTATTTAGGGTCCCTGATGGCCACAGAATCAAAGAATTTTGATAGGATTTTAGAAAGAGGACAGGGATTTTTAATAAAAAGGTGTGTAAGGAGGGCAGGGTGTGCTGAACTACTAGAGGAATAAATTGGTTGTGTGTTGTAAAAAGGAGAAACTCAAAGACACCAACTTTGGGAGTAGACAAATAAGAATAAAATGCAGATAAAGTTGAAAAGCACCCCTTGCTTTATATCACAAGAAAACAGAGCTTGATTCTTCCAATGGCTTGGATTTCGTCACTTTAAAACTATAGGAAGATGCTCTGTGCATTTTCAAAAGGGAGCAACGAGTTCAGGCTTGTTTTTTATAATCTTGGCTTCCCTAAATGTGTGCAGGAGCTGAATCAGCCCTTAATGTCACCAGAGGTTATGCAGAGCTATGATTACATCATTGATCCGAAAGCTAAAAGCATTAGGAACTTGGAGTACCATCCACCTTTAAAGAAAATGCTCATAAATAGCACTCCCTGTAAAATTGAAAGGACTCATATTTCAGTTGATTTTCTGTATTCATTACACTGCCACTTAATTAATGACATAAAGCATAAATAGAACTGTTTTTAAAGTAGAATGGCATTTAAAAACAATACAAGATTCCACAGCATGTCAATGCTTCTAATACCTATAGGTATCTTGGCTAACTACAAATGAGAAAGCAATTTAGACTAAATAGCATTTCG